GAGAGCATTTGCTGCTGCTGCTGGGGTTGCTCCGGGATCCATCGGGTTTTATGAATCGTTTGAACATAATCACAGGGATTGCAGCAGAACCCGTAGGCTTTTTCCTCAGCTCTGATCGCTGTAAACGTCGTCCCATTCTGTGAAGCGGGAGAAGGTTCAATCGAGAGTATACGTCGCGGGGCTTCAGGGAAAAACTGTTCCGTTGGAGGGATCGCGGCGGAAGAGTTTCCCGAGGCTTAATCGATGGCAGCGCTCTTACCTCGGCGTAACCGATGTAGATCGCGAGATCTTGCAGGAAGTTTGACGTGCCGAAGAACTTCAGGCGGGACCCGAAGAGCAGAACTTCCTGTCTTTCGCCTTCGACGATAATTTCAGCGTAGAGGGAATGGGGCTGCATAATAGCTTGGCATTCGTCGCAACACCTGGTGAGTAACATAATTTCAAAATGAGCCCCGACACGAGGTTCGGGCTCCTGGACGGAAACAAGCTCGAAGGAGAGAAATTTCATCCATCACCAAACTCACTTGAGAATTTCATTCTTAGCGGCCTCGACGTTTCCTTCTCCGAGGAAGCGTCGAGCCAAGAGAGACGCCCGAACTTGCTTCGGCAGCTCGAACGTGTGACCAGTCATGGCGACCTGGGCCCCGAAACGGACATGAACCTCACCCAATCCCTCGGGCTCTTGCATAATAAGATTCAATGCCAGGCGCCAACCCCTCATGGGTGAAGTGCATTCCAAGCGGATTCCACCCGCGCTATACACGTGACCTAAGCGGTGAGCCTCTTGTCGATTACAAGATCTATGGTTCTTCGGCCTAATCGGGTTCCCCCACAAAACCTCTGTAGGCTCTTCAGGTCCCGTACTCACCCTCACTGTTGTCCTTCAAGAGAGTCTGCGGCAGGACCAGGAAACGTTGTTTGACGTTCAAGCGAACATAAACATTCGCGAGTCCGTCCTGGAGCCTTTCGAAGAATATTCCGACGCGGGTCTGCTCGGAGGGGTCGCATGCAAACCAATGAATCCAATCCCGCCTGGACTGTGGAAAATCTTTCGGGATTCAGTCCATCTATAATCCTTGCCCTCCAAGCACCTCCGGTGCGATGCTTCCGTCGATACATGCTCGTAATGTATTTATTATATCGGAAACTAACATCTGTCAAGTGGACGACCGGAGAATCGAATTCCCATTCTCTGTCTGAGAAGACCGCGTTGAGCTTCACGGGGTCGCTGACTCTTTCCCATGTGAAAGGTGGAAATTCGACGTCCAATCGATCCAGACGAGTACGCGCGAAACGCTTTAGGCTGGAGAGCTTCGACA